TTAATTATACATTGTTCAATAATGATCAAAAGTACTTTTTTTTCATTAATATAATTGTAAGAATTGTTATGTTTCTATATCATTCAAAGACATGAAAATAATTTGTTATACGTTTTCGCCTCATAGAAAACAGAAATATCAACAAAAATTTAGTTAACAAAGCCATGTCATCAATATAAACAAAACTGATTGAAAAGCTTTTTATAAGATTATATTATTCTTTCTGAAGAAAATTTATAGAGAATTTCAAATGAAACAAAACAATAGACAAGAAAATCATCTTATTCCGGTTCATTAATATACAACATCAATAGCATTTAGAAACTAAAAAACGAAAAAAATGAATAATGATATCTTTCGCCATCTCTCGTCTACACTCTTATTGGTTTTATATTCTTTTCCAATTGATGTTTCGTTTTTCATAGTATGATTCTTTTACCTAGCCTTCTTATCACATAACTGTAGGAGTGTTAGAGTGCCAAATTTCTCTCTATCTTCTTATCTACTCGTCTTCTCTTCATTTTTACTTCGTATTTATTTCGAATTTAACATCATCTAGATGCTACATTTAAAATAATGACACATAACATACCAGACAATCGTGATATTTCCTGTTATCATGTAACTAAACATTCATGGCGTGGTAAATATAAACGCATATTTTCCATTGGTACACATGGTATTAGTACATATGAACCATCAACACTTGGTCTTACAAATGCTTGGTCATATGATCAAGTTGTATCATTAACATTATCAAAATCTTCGAATACATCCGATAAATCTCAACAATCAATATCAAATTCATCGCCAATAGCAGAATTTATATTAACATTTCGAACAAAATCAAAAAAAAATGATACAATGCGTTTTTCAAGTGAATATCGTTCGGATATCATCACTGATGCCTTACGTTTTCAAACATTATTTTATCATCATCAACAAGCAACAAGTCAGCCAAAAGTAATACACGCAACAAAAATTCATTGGTCATCACAACGTTTACCAGTACTTTTACGTATACAATCACATTGTATTGATCAAATTGATGCAACTACAAATCGTTATTTATGTTCATATGAATATAAAGATATTGAACAATTAATTCCATTAACAAGTGAAGGTGATACAACCGTACGTGGATTTCTTATACAAGATAAACATTATTCACGTTTACATGCATTTGTTACAACAGAAACATCAACATTATTTCAAAATATAATTGATTCAGCACATACAAATATAGGTGTACAAATACGTTTATCAAAAAAATCTTATACACTTAATGATTATAATCAATTACGTTTTGGTCCAACATATATATCTGATGAACATTTAACATCATTTGCAGAATTTATTGTTTATAAACATTCATCAAGACATGTTGATCATGTTCGACGTTTACTTTGTTTAACTGAAACATGTTTAATTGAACGTGATCCAGCTACATATCATATATGTACATTAAAACCATTAAATGAAATATTTGGTCTTGTACGACATAAAGATTCATTACAAGAATTTACTATTGAATATATAAGAAATAATCCAACACGATCAAAATGTAAATATACATCAACTGAACGTGATATTTTATTAGCAACATTATTGGATGGTGTACGTTCAGCAGGGAATAATGATTGTTGTGTTAAAACAAATCCAACTGATAGAGGAAAACGTTTTGCACCATTTGGACATTTAGTTGATGATGAAGTTGAAATACAACATTTAAAATTTCTTGTACAACCACCATCGGGTAGAAATTGACTATTTTTTTGTTCGATAGAATTATTTGACTTAGGTTTTTTTTTATTTGTGTAGGTCGACTTTCTACTCCACAAGATTCACATAATCCATCAGCATCACAAGGTGGTGTTTCATTTAATGAAATTCTTAAACGGTTTAATGCAAATGTACCTTATAGTGGACTTATTAATGCTGTTTCATCAGAAGGTATGATTAACTCTTCATTTATTCTTAAGAAAACAAAAAAAAAACATTTTGACACTGATTCATAGTCTTTTTTACTATAATTGAAATGCAGGATTAAAGAAAAATGGAATATCTCCGCTTCAATTCACTAAAATGGACTACTGTTTTTTTTTTTCTTAACAGAGTACTACTCGAGGTGATACCTGGCGTTTGAAATGAAACTGATTTCATTATACAGAGTATATTACGACCAGAAGAAATCTAGAAGGATCCTTCTCCATGCCCTATCAATATTGGAGTAATGGTTTTACACAGAGGATTTTTACTTTTAGCACGGTATTTATAAGAAAAACCGAATAAATGAGTATCGGCCTAAAACTTTGCCCATGGATAGCTCTTGAGATCATTAGAGTATCCTAAAAATTTCAGCCAACAAGACTTGTCTCTTCTCAAGATATCAAATCCAGAAAAAAAAACCATGAAAATCTAGTTTTTTTTTGTAAACTTGCTATCCAAAAATAGGAACCACTCTTTTCGGCTGGCATTCTTTTAGGAGATTTCAATAATTTCAAGAGCTGTCTCTATTAAAGAAAAAAATATATATGAAGCATTTCATTGCTAATTTTCATTTGTCATATAAGAGAATAATAATAAGTCAAAACGAACTAGGCTGATGTACGCAGAGCAATTTTTCAAAATTAGTCACTTTGAATGCTTACATTCATAATCTAAAATTAAGGGTGTGGATGTGGATAGTATCTTCACACACTCACCCTTAAGAGTGAACAGGTGAAAATGAAAGAAAACTTCTTGATTGTTAAGAATCTTTGTATGGAGCTATCTAAATGGTAATCAAAGGAGAGGATATTTTTTGAGGTTCAATTTTTGGAATTTTAACTGTTCAAAATTCTAATTTATTTAACAGTTTGTATTTCAAGATTTTACAGTAGTTCACCAAAGCACCAAATTTGTTCTAATAAATAATTTTCTATGTTTGAAAATTCGAACTTTGAGAACAGTTGATTTTTAAATTAACTAATTCGGAAAATTTGCTTTGTATGCATTAATATAATTTTTTTTGAGTTTTTGTTATTCTTTTCGATCACAACTGAAAATTATCTATGAAATACTACACATGTATTTTTTTACTTGATAACAGGTAAGATCGCTTTCATGATACCTAAAATAATACTTAGTTGCAGTATTTGCTTACCTTATCTGTATGAAGAAAAAAACCTTTGAATAAACTTCTGCTAATAACAAAAAAACAGCCCATTTGATTGAATCGACACGAATATATTTCATTGTTTTTGTGGTATTGCTACCGATAGCCTACCCTATATGTATGATGCAAGAAAAAAAGATAAACAACAAACTAGTTTTGATTTTTTTTGATACTGTTACGTATCTATCTCAAATACGAGTAGTTATTGTGGATAGTTTTCGGGCCCCCGTAGAGCTATTTTTTAGAAAGCTATCTTAAAGAACACAAAATTCTGTATAAAGTGATAGGTCGCTGCATTTTCTACGACCTTCCTTTAAAAAGTTACAAGTATTACAAAAAATCCATTAAAAAAACGCTTTTTGTTTTGCTTTTGTGATGCTTTTAACTTTTTAAACGAAGGTCATAGAAAATGCAGCGACTTATCACTTTATACAGAATTTTGTGTTCTTTAAGATAGCTTTCTAAAAAATAGCTCTACAGGGACCCGAAAACTATCCACAATAACTACTCGTATTTGAGATAGATACGTAACAGTATCAAAAAAATCAAAACTAGTTTTTGTTTATCTTTTTTTCTTGTATCATACATATAGGGTAGGCTATCGGTAGCAATACCACAAAAAAAATGAAATATATTCGTGTCGATTCAATCAAATGGGCTGTTTTTTTGTTATTAGCAGGAGTTTATTCAAAGGTTTTTTTCTTCATACAGATAAGGTAAGCAAATACTGCAACTAAGTATTATTTTAGGTATCATGAAAGCGATCTTACCTGTTATCAAGTAAAAAAATACATGTGTAGTATTTCATAGATAATTTTCAGTTGTGATCGAAAAGAATAACAAAAACTCAAAAAAAATTATATTAATGCATACAAAGCAAATTTTCCGAATTAGTTAATTTAAAAATCAACTGTTCTCAAAGTTCGAATTTTCAAACATAGAAAATTATTTATTAGAACAAATTTGGTGCTTTGGTGAACTACTGTAAAATCTTGAAATACAAACTGTTAAATAAATTAGAATTTTGAACAGTTAAAATTCCAAAAATTGAACCTCAAAAAATATCCTCTCCTTTGATTACCATTTAGATAGCTCCATACAAAGATTCTTAACAATCAAGAACTTTTCTTTCATTTTCACCTGTTCACTCTTAAGGGTGAGTCTGTGAAGATACTATCCACATCCACACCCTTAATTTTAGGTTATGAATGTAAGCATTCAAAGTGACTAATTTTGAAAAATTGCTCTGCGTACATCAGCCTAGTTCGTTTTGACTTATTATTATTCTCTTATATGACAAATGAAAATTAGCAATGAAATGCTTCATATATATTTTTTTCTTTAATAGAGACAGCTCTTGAAATTATTGAAATCTCCTAAAAGAATGCCAGCCGAAAAGAGTGGTTCCTATTTTTGGATAGCAAGTTTACAAAAAAAAACTAGATTTTCATGGTTTTTTTTTCTGGATTTGATATCTTGAGAAGAGACAAGTCTTGTTGGCTGAAATTTTTAGGATACTCTAATGATCTCAAGAGCTATCCATGGGCAAAGTTTTAGGCCGATACTCATTTATTCGGTTTTTCTTATAAATACCGTGCTAAAAGTAAAAATCCTCTGTGTAAAACCATTACTCCAATATTGATAGGGCATGGAGAAGGATCCTTCTAGATTTCTTCTGGTCGTAATATACTCTGTATAATGAAATCAGTTTCATTTCAAACGCCAGGTATCACCTCGAGTAGTACTCTGTTAAGAAAAAAAAAAACAGTAGTCCATTTTAGTGAATTGAAGCGGAGATATTCCATTTTTCTTTAATCCTGCATTTCAATTATAGTAAAAAAGACTATGAATCAGTGTCAAAATGTTTTTTTTTTGTTTTCTTAAGAATAAATGAAGAGTTAATCATACCTTCTGATGAAACAGCATTAATAAGTCCACTATAAGGTACATTTGCATTAAACCGTTTAAGAATTTCATTAAATGAAACACCACCTTGTGATGCTGATGGATTATGTGAATCTTGTGGAGTAGAAAGTCGACCTACACAAATAAAAAAAAACCTAAGTCAAATAATTCTATCGAACAAAAAAATAGTCAATTTCTACCCGATGGTGGTTGTACAAGAAATTTTAAATGTTGTATTTCAACTTCATCATCAACTAAATGTCCAAATGGTGCAAAACGTTTTCCTCTATCAGTTGGATTTGTTTTAACACAACAATCATTATTCCCTGCTGAACGTACACCATCCAATAATGTTGCTAATAAAATATCACGTTCAGTTGATGTATATTTACATTTTGATCGTGTTGGATTATTTCTTATATATTCAATAGTAAATTCTTGTAATGAATCTTTATGTCGTACAAGACCAAATATTTCATTTAATGGTTTTAATGTACATATATGATATGTAGCTGGATCACGTTCAATTAAACATGTTTCAGTTAAACAAAGTAAACGTCGAACATGATCAACATGTCTTGATGAATGTTTATAAACAATAAATTCTGCAAATGATGTTAAATGTTCATCAGATATATATGTTGGACCAAAACGTAATTGATTATAATCATTAAGTGTATAAGATTTTTTTGATAAACGTATTTGTACACCTATATTTGTATGTGCTGAATCAATTATATTTTGAAATAATGTTGATGTTTCTGTTGTAACAAATGCATGTAAACGTGAATAATGTTTATCTTGTATAAGAAATCCACGTACGGTTGTATCACCTTCACTTGTTAATGGAATTAATTGTTCAATATCTTTATATTCATATGAACATAAATAACGATTTGTAGTTGCATCAATTTGATCAATACAATGTGATTGTATACGTAAAAGTACTGGTAAACGTTGTGATGACCAATGAATTTTTGTTGCGTGTATTACTTTTGGCTGACTTGTTGCTTGTTGATGATGATAAAATAATGTTTGAAAACGTAAGGCATCAGTGATGATATCCGAACGATATTCACTTGAAAAACGCATTGTATCATTTTTTTTTGATTTTGTTCGAAATGTTAATATAAATTCTGCTATTGGCGATGAATTTGATATTGATTGTTGAGATTTATCGGATGTATTCGAAGATTTTGATAATGTTAATGATACAACTTGATCATATGACCAAGCATTTGTAAGACCAAGTGTTGATGGTTCATATGTACTAATACCATGTGTACCAATGGAAAATATGCGTTTATATTTACCACGCCATGAATGTTTAGTTACATGATAACAGGAAATATCACGATTGTCTGGTATGTTATGTGTCATTATTTTAAATGTAGCATCTAGATGATGTTAAATTCGAAATAAATACGAAGTAAAAATGAAGAGAAGACGAGTAGATAAGAAGATAGAGAGAAATTTGGCACTCTAACACTCCTACAGTTATGTGATAAGAAGGCTAGGTAAAAGAATCATACTATGAAAAACGAAACATCAATTGGAAAAGAATATAAAACCAATAAGAGTGTAGACGAGAGATGGCGAAAGATATCATTATTCATTTTTTTCGTTTTTTAGTTTCTAAATGCTATTGATGTTGTATATTAATGAACCGGAATAAGATGATTTTCTTGTCTATTGTTTTGTTTCATTTGAAATTCTCTATAAATTTTCTTCAGAAAGAATAATATAATCTTATAAAAAGCTTTTCAATCAGTTTTGTTTATATTGATGACATGGCTTTGTTAACTAAATTTTTGTTGATATTTCTGTTTTCTATGAGGCGAAAACGTATAACAAATTATTTTCATGTCTTTGAATGATATAGAAACATAACAATTCTTACAATTATATTAATGAAAAAAAAGTACTTTTGATCATTATTGAACAATGTATAATTAAAGCAATTAGTAAATGGTGTGCGTGTATCTGTAGAGAATTTCGTGTCTCCTTGATTGCGGGCGATTTTTCTTAATTGGAGAAAAAAT